TCTGTCTTGGTCCTCTGAACTAGTATGAGATTAAACGATTACGCCGACAGTGTGTGTGTGTGTGTGTGTTTGTTGTGTGTGTGCGTGTATGTGTGGTGTGTGTGTGCATTATATTGCCGCACATACGCTGGTAGCTTCTTTCAATTGATAGACATGGCCCCTTGCACTAAACCCTCTAGTACGCAATAATCAGTTCGATTTCGACACATCCGTTTTAAATATCGTCGGGGTTAACCGTTCATAAGACTTAGTATCACATATAACTTTATTATTTCATTACCTCAAATGTTTTAAAATTGGGTTAAAATTTAGAGTAATTCATCAATCATCATCAACATCCTTTAATAGTCCACTGCTGGACATTGGCCTCTCCTTAAAAATGCCTAAGCTAATTAATAAATATTAATTAATAAATCAACATCCTAATTTTAAACTTGACTATATTTTGGCTACAATATCACCACCTCTGGACAGCTTTAGAAAATTATTATAAAGTTAAAATAGTACACGCCAATTCGCGATGGCGTTGCTCCCAAAATCATTGAAAAACAATCTCTCTGAAATCCTTGTGTTTAAAACGTTCACAATCCGGAGGCAGCTTCATCCATCAGATCAGAGCACAAACGATCGTCTCACGCTTCGCGGAGCGCGTAATCTGAGAGTGGAATTGTGATGCGGGTGGGGACCAACTCCGGTTCAAGGGTGAGCTGTTTTTAATGTCCATTGTGCACCTCTCAGATGGATTTAGAAAGAGTTTTAGTGACGTCAATGGTGATCTCCTGGCTTAAGTTATTACGAAAAACAAATTGCTGTTTTAAGAATTAAACACATATTTTAATACACTTTACTGAACCATTTTGATTGCACTCTAGAAATATTAAGATAATGTTTCTTCGAAATCTAAGAATATCAATTACGCTTGCAGCTATGCTGGAAACCACTGCCGTACTGAGTGAACAAGGTACCACACCTCATAATATTCGTTTATATGATGATTAAAGGGAAAAAATAATGGATATTTCAATAATCACAGCCCAAGTTTTAACAACTATGACACAAACAACAAGCAAAAGGCACTCACGCCTGCGTCCTTGAAGAGTTTGCAGAACCGGATAATCATCGAAATTTATAACTACAATTTAGTTCCACACAGGTAGTTTTAATGGTGTGGGCAATAATTACCGTAATATTGGGAGGCAATGGAAGGATAGGTAGTTGGTTATTGTATAAAAGGATTAAATGAAGATTATTATTATTTAAACTACAGCACTTATATGAACGAGACCCAGTGACGTTACTTTTCACAGAAATATTTTTCTAGGTAAAAGCGTGTGTACGTAAAACTGGATCTTATTCTCACTGAAGTTGGTAGTCAAATAATACAATATACTGAACCTCTCATCTGTAAGTAATACCGACAGTTGCCGACAATACCCGACGTCGCCCGATCCCCTGAACTCGAGACCGCGGCAAACAATTCAATTATGTCCGCAAATGTATCGGAATGATTGTTCCCGTACTGCTAAAGGTAAGCGCACACTGCACTTGAGTTAAACAAACATCCACAGATTTAATTTCTCAGTTGCCAACAGCACTTTGTCAATAGCTAAGTATAATCTAAATTTTCTTAACTTTTTTTCTTTTAAACATATTCTGTGTCGCAGTACTTAACAAACATATATGAAACGAACACAAAGAACAATCAGACTTGGACCAACAATTTATGGATCACACAAAGTGGGGATCGAACCCACAACACTCAACGCAGTAGGAAGTGGATAGGGGACCACTTAAACCACTACGCTATCCGTGCAGTATATTATGTCTCAGAAACACATTTCGTCGAGGTACATTTAAGTAATGAAGTTTCTAAGTGTTGTAGCTAAAACATTGCCAGCCTATGTTATTCCTCAATAAATACACTATTTAATGCAATAAGAATCATTCAAATCTGACTAACAGTTTCAGCTGTCAGATTTCAGTCAGATTAACGTATTTAAACAAATAAATAACTCTAAAAAAACTTTAATGTAATATGGATGTACAATATATAGACACCCTCTAACAATTAATTTGGCAATAAAGAGGAATAGAAAAACAAATAACTTTAGTTTTAGGATTTTTATAATACTTTCATCCATTTTAAAAGAAAAGAAACCTATTAGGGGAGAGTAACCAATATTGAACCGGCGCTTAAATTGGACCAGTTCTGTATTTATACCAAATTGGCACTATTTTTTTATACTAGCAACAAAAAAAGAAGCGCTAGCAGCGCGACTAATACTCCGCCATTTTGTAGCGCTCCTTTTTGTGCCAATAGACTATAGAAAATAGTGGCATTTTGGTAGAAATACATAAGTGGTCCAATTTAAGCGCCGGTTCAATATTGGTTCATCATCAACAGCCTATAACAGTCCACTGCTGGACATAGGCCTCTTCTTAAAAAGGAGGTTTTGGCCTACTATACCACGCTGGCCAGACGGGTTGGTATAGGGTTTGTTTCAAGTTTTCTTTCTCTTTGCAGTGCTGTTGTCCTGCTTAGTTTGCTCCCTTAGTCGGCTCTTACGACACCCACGGGATGAATTGTAGTGGTGACAATTTGTATTCTTAATCCGTCACCACATGGACTTGGTTACTCTCTCCTATATCTAATTTTGAAAGACTAAAAAATAAATGATATTTTGGTTCGTCGAGTACGTTTGCGACCATTTGCAGCCCGCTCCAGTGTTCGCGTACCCTTTTACCCTGTACTCGCGCTACACTGAGCGGAATGGCGCACAGTTATTCGTAATTGCGTTCCTCACCGATTTGCTACACTTGCCTCAACCACCAGAGCAGGAGGAGACGCGCTATGGATGGCAGCAATTATTTTAATCAATTTAACCATTTAAAACTGGAGTTTAGGGTGAATATTGTTGAATTGGCTGATTTATACAAGTTATAATCTATACATAGAAAATTAATCGCCCTAACATAAACGCAGAGCCTAAACCGGGTACAAACTTAAAATTTAGGCACCAACCATTATTTGTAAGTACCAATTAAGAAAGGAACAATATTAAGCTTTTTTGTTTTTCTTTTCGTGTTCAGAAATCCCCTCGGATATCAACCACCGGTGGGGTTATTATGTCGGTCTTGAATCGACCAAAAACCACACGACGTCTCGGGTACCAGTAGCCGGGGAACTAAGTGTACCCTAGAAAGGAAATCGCTGGGACCCAAACGTATGACAATATTATCCCTAAAATGACGAACTTCCATTCATGAGTTACTTTACTCAAAAAGTTTGTAATTTTCAAAGTTAGAAACATTTTTTTTCTTTTCTTTATGTTTTTGTGAAAGACAACTCCCGCACTAGGAATATATCCTGTGTCGCGGGGAGCTTTACAAACATACATGAAACGGACACAAAGAACACCCAGACTCAGAACAACAATTTGTAGATCACACAAAGTGTCATCCCATGTGGGGATCGAACCCACAACACTAAGTACTAGTAAGTGGCGTGGCGACCGCTTAAACCACTACGCCATCCGTGCAGTCCAAGTATATAAATTAGAAAGAATCATGAGATGGTAATAATTAACTAGGAGTTAGATAAGCCAGAACAACAGCACTGCAGAGAGAAGGAAAACTTGACACAACCCCTATACCAACTCGTCTGGCCAGCGTGGTATAGTAGGCCAAAACCTCCTTTCTAAGGAGAGGCTTATGTCCAGCAGTGGACTATTAAAAGCTGTTGATGATGATGATGATAGATAAGCCAAGCAGCATGGGTTTAATATACCTACAACCTGTCAGCTTCAGTGGTCTCTAATAATAAAAAAAGCAGAACTATAGGGTCACTCTTGTGTCTGAATGTCCGTCTGCCACAGACAGGTAGGTATACATATTCATTTATGTGATAGAAACACAGATGTTCACATTACAGGTACAAATTAGAAGCCCTTTACAAAAAATATATATATTTGCTAACTGTACCGTGATATAGGTATTTGTATATAAGACTATTGCAGTTTTAAGTTCTTAATTATTTTTAAAGATGAATGATGAAATAGATATAAATAGATATACATTTTTCTGTGAAACATAAATTAAAATGTTAAACAAATTTCTCAGAGGCGGAGATACACACTTAACACTTAGTGGGGTAACCAATGAGACATTCAGGTGAAAAATATTTGTGTTACACAAGGAATGAAAACATTCCTTTCTCTCTCTTTTTGATGTATAACATCTTCCCTCTCGTTTTCCAAAAATCTGTGAAAATAATATTGTGAAAAGAAACGGAAGTGTGTTACGGAAGCAGTCGCACTTCCGTAACACACTTCGGTTCCCTTTCCCTTTCCCACTGTTGTGTTGCTGTCTCGGGCTCGTTTCCCGGGTCGGACCTGATGTTTGTGTGAAAATATTTACTTCGGAGTTTGGGTATTTTCTATGTATAATATTTATGTATTTACAAAAAAGGTATGAAGTATTCTATCATTCAATATAGTGTTGATTGAATGAACACTGAAAATTGATGATTTCATGACGATAGGTGAGATATCTTTTTCTTTTAATACAAATTGTTATCAGTATCTACTTGCGTGTGTATGTATGTATTTATATACTTTTATACAGTATTTAAATATTATAAGGTATGTACTTATGTGTAATATTAATATGTATAGGTGTAGTATACAGATTTGTATATGTCTATAAATTATATTATTTTGTACAAAGTATACATACAATATTAAATGTCCAAATTAAATGTAACTAAAATGCACCTACTTCCTGTTTTCTCTGCATCACCCAATGAGAGTAGAGAATGCCTTAGGCATTAAGTCCGCCAATGAACCAAATGTGCATGATGTGTAAAAATAAATAAATATAATTTGCAACTACTGTAAGTCCCGTTTTGTTTTATAAATAGTTCTGTTACCTACTTTCATCATCCTTTTGCAAAGAACGTTAGTGGATATATAATATTTCTAACTATCACATCTAAAACTTACCAGTCTTGACCTGGTGCCGCAACGTCATTTTGCAGTCCTCCAGCAGCTGTTTCAGAGGCAACGGCTCCTCGTGTAAATCCAGGTCTAACATCTTCTGCATCTCCTCCGGCATCTTGAACTCCAATATCTGTATAAAGATGTGATTTAATTGTCGCTATGAGTCTTAACTTTTATTACTGTTAAAGTCTTTTGTAATACGAAACTATATCATTTTTCGTCATCATCATCATCATCAACGGGGAAATTTACAAACCTTCATGAAACGGACACAAAAACACCCAGACTCAGGACAACAATTTGTGGAACACACAAAGTGTTGCTTCCGTGTGGTGGCGGATTAAGAATACGGAGTGTCACCACCCCTATTCATCCCATAAGTGTGGTAAAAGCTGACCACGGGAGCACTGCAAAGAGAAGGAAAACTTGACACAAACCCTGTACCAACCCTTTTGGCCAGCGTGGTATAGTAGATCTAACCTCCTTTCTGAGGAGAGGCCTATATCAAACAGTGCTGAAGGCTGTTGATGAATGATGATGATAAAGTATGTGTATATAAATGTTTATTTTTTGCAAATTTCCGTATAAAGGTTGTCTGTAAGAGATCGCCGTGAGCGATAAGACCGTCTATTGTTATACCGCAATGTATTTAATATCTGTGATATGTAAATAATACCTAAAGGTTGACTGGGAGAGAATGCCTTGGGTATTAAGTCCGCCGATGTACAAATGTGCATAAAGTTATAAATAAATAATACTTGAATGGTGTTTTTTTTTTTTTTTTGTTGACGGGTTGGAAAATCCCTTCGGATCTCCGGCTTCTCGGGAACTCAGGAGCCAGGAGTATGTGGTGATTCCACTAAAAACGACCCCGACGGCCGGCCTTAGGTGTCCTACTCTGGGGAGGACCCGGACCATGTTATTTCAGGTCCTCCCTGAATTGACACCATGCCTAATCAGGCCCTATCCCAGGGGAGAACACTTCCCCCTTCAATCGCGGCATGGCAGCCCGATCGCATCTTAATGCAATCAGGCCGGCCATTCCATTCCCTACCGCAGCAATCAATCTGCCACCAGAGGTACCCACTCTCTGGCGGCCCGCGCGGCCCCGTCGACGGCTGTTCCCCGTTCAGCGGTCTCTTTCTGGAGCATTACAGCTTCACAGAAAGAGACCACTGCGCCCCAGCCCTCCTCACCCGCCACTTCAATGGTGTACAATAAAGAGATAAATAAATAAAGTGTCGTCCCATGTGGAGATCGAACCCACAACACTGAGCTATAGTATATCGGTCTATGGGTTATAGTATATCGGTGTATATATATAATAGTGTCCGTGTGGTGACGGATTAAGAATACAGATTGTCACCACCCCAATTCATCCCGTGGGTGTTGTAAGAGTCAACTAAAAGAAAAAACTACGCAGAACAACAACACTGCAGAGAGAAGGAAAACTTGACACAAACCCTATACCAACCCGTCTGGCCAGCGTGGTATAGTAGGCCAAAACCTCCTTTCTAAGGAGAGGCTTATGTCCAGCAGTGGACTATTAAAGGCTGTTGATGATGATATAATAGTGATGAATGGACAGGTGATGGTGATACCTTCTCGTTGCGATCATTGACGGCGTGCACGTAGTCCAGAAGTACGTCGACCACGCGCGCCAGGAACTCCCGTGTCTGCGCCTGGGAATCTTCCCGGTACGGCAGGATGGCTGTGGAATAATTGATTGTTTACAATCTTGGGGTTTATATCAAAAGTGTGTTAAAATTACGTAAACTCTGTATTTTACGATAGATTGCTTCAGCATTTATTAAGGGCTGCAAGTTAGGTCTGTAACTGGTTGGGGTGTCCGAAAAACATAATAATAAATGAGTGATGTCAGTGAACACTTAATACAAAAAAAAACTCCTAGAAATCTTTCTAAATGTCCTATCCCGGGACTCTAACTACCTCTATATCACATTTCATCAAAATCTATTCAGCGGTTTAAGCGTGAAGAGTAACAGACATGCAAACACACTTTCGCATTTATAATATTAGTATGGATGTGTCACAAAATTCAATGCATCTAAAATTTAGTAAAATCCACTTCTGTGAGTTCGAGATAAAGCTGTAATACTCGCAATCTAATATAACCTGATTTAACAATAAATTGACACATCTCTCACAAGCTCATTTGATTCCAAACAGCGCATAATTATTTGTCCTGGATGGGAATCGAACCTACGACCTCTGGCTCAGCAGACAGGATCACTCACCACTAGACCAACAGGCCAGTCATGAAGAGTTCAGAGTTCTTATTCATTTGATTCTTAACCCTTAGAGGTGGAATAATCTACTTATTGAACCATACCGTGAGTACAAATTATTGAAATTGATTCACAAATTATAAAGATATCTCGTAAAATACGGATAAATAAAAGCAAGACTCAGCCCATTTGAGAATTACCCTTTTTTAAGACGGTTAATAAAACCAGTGACAGTAACATAAAAAATCATTACAAATTACTCTAGGTTATAATAACTATAAATATTTTCTTAAGACGAGTAATTTCCTCTACAACCCTCGCCGTGCCCAACAAAATTGCGCCATAACATACATCTGTGCGCAATAACCCTCCCTCTGCTGCGAGGTCTACAGGGCCACTGATTAAAAAGTCACTGCTTTTAATATCGCGCGCCCTTCGTCCAGGAATGTGTGGCGGTAGGGTGGATATACGTCGGCAATTTTAAGGACTCACTCTGACACATAATCTTAATAAGAGTTTACGGAGTATTTATGAATTAGTAAAGGAAAATATGTTAAAAAAAATATATAAGCTAGCTTCTAGATATTATTTGTATTATTGTGTATTTCTTAACAACTTTTTAATTTCATAGTGATCGCTTCACATGCAATTTTATGTTTCTGGTCGTCGCGAAAGTGTCGCGTCGCGTCGCGTATTGATAATACTGATATATTAATAAGTTATATGGTAGCATATATTATACAAGGTGTCTCAAAAGAAAGTTTATATTTAGTAGATCGATTAAAAAAAAAGTAAGCAGTGTATCGAAAAAATGTTTATTAATTATTAAAGTACACAATTTGGGAATTTATTTCTTAAAAATATTATCGTCCAAATGTAGACCCTCGCGTTCGCGGCACTCATTTAATCGAACAGTAAAATTACTTATGACGGCTCGGCAGGTGAACTCAGTGATGGCTGCCATTTCGTGACGGATATTTTCTTTCAAATGCGCCAGGGAAGTCGGTTTATTCGCTTGAACTTTAGATTAAAGACAACCCCATAGGAAAAAGTCCATAGGGGTTAAATCAGGACTGCGTGGAGGCCAATTTATGTCACCTCTAATGGAGATCAATTTTCTCGTGGCAGAGACGTATTGGACGTGTGTGACGTTGCTCCGTCCTGCTGGAACCATGTTCTTTGGTTATATCCAGGAAAGTTTTGCAGTTCAGGCGCCAAGAAGTCGTCTAACATCTCCACATAACGCTCTGAATTCACTGTAACTGCACGCCCCCTTTCGTCTTCAAAAAAGTAAGGGCCGATAATTCCTCGCGCCGACATCGCAGCCCATACGGTCACTTTAGGCGAATGAAGGGGTTTCTGATGTTTGCGTTTGGATTCATTGCACTCCAGTAGCGAGAAACATGAAAATGAGCTTCATCCGAAAACAAGATGTTGGTAAACGTTGAAAAGCGCTCAATCGCCTGATTTACGAAGTCAAGCCTCTGACTGGCATCTTTGGGGCTTTAATTCTTGCACCAATTGAATTTTGTAGGGTGCAGCTTTAGGTCTTTGTGCAAAATGCGGTGTAATGATGATCTATGCACATTTAAAGCACTTAGTCGGGTCGTCACGAACAGACGGATTAACACTCTCCACGTTTTCTACCGTTCTTGATGACCTTGGTCGCCCGGATTTTGGTTTTTCCAGCTTTGTACCGGTCTCTTCAAACTTTTTGACCCATTTTCGAATAAGAGGAATGCTTGGCCCATCATTTAAATGGCGAAAACCTCGAACACTACAGAACCTTCTACGCGCTACAGTCGCCGAATCACCGTTTTTGTAAAACTCTCGCACGCACAACGCACGGTCTGCTCCCGAGAAACGCTCCATAGCGACTGAATTCCCAAGAGCCAGGCTACCGATTGACATAACCCCCGCGCCCCTCGGACTCGTTGCGTTCACGCAGTAAGCTAAATAAATATAAACTTTCTTTTGAGACACCTTGTATTACAGTATAGAGTAGTAGTATAAGTACATACAACTCTCTTAGACTCTAACTCTCCGTCCTCCATAAGCGCAGGCCTGAGGATAACAGGTGAGGCCATCTGTCACTCTAGCAGAAGAAGGCCGGGGTGAGTAGTGGCGCGACGCGCTACAGAGCGCACACGCCCTTCGGGGCCAGAAGGGAACATCCGGGTTCCCACACAGGAGGGGTCATCTATAAGTCGTAGATGGCCCGAGGTACGTCGGTGTACCAGTGCTTTCCCTTCTAGGGTATACCTTGTTCCCCGGCTACTGGTGCCTGGAGACGGCGTGCGGTTTTTGGTCGGTTCGAGTCCGACATAATCACCCACTGGTGGGTATTATCCGAGGGGAGTTCCGCACAGAAAAAGAAAAAAAAAAGAGGGCGGCTTGCAACATAAATCTTCAGTATTCGTAGTAGTCTACAAAATATTATAGCTCATATTTCTTTTGTCCCTTAAATTAAAAATAAATATTTCATGGCCACAACACAAACACAATTCATATTGCACACGAACACAGATGTCGCTGATTTATTTTCCAAACTACCCACACTCATGACGCCGCTAGAATTTATTCAAATTGGAACTTTATTGCAAGTTAATAAAGAATATGTAAACCAAATTTGTTAAATTTAGGTTTTGTTTTCCACCAAACTGGAAACACCTTTTCTGTACAAAAAAAATGTACCATTATATTTTAAAGGGATAATAATTTTAAGAGACGAATATATTGACAAAAACGTAGTACAAAAACGTGGAATTTGATATATTGTACTACTCGACCTAGCGAACTAGACGACTGTCAAACGTGACGTCATTGACTTCGGGTAGCAACCTTGCCGACGGTACTAAGACGATAAAACGCTTGGTCGAGTAGTAATACAGGTAAATTAGCTTGGAGAAATTTTTGCGTTTGTAGTAGTGTATGGTAGCGGACAGCGTAAACTGGTTTATTCTGGTTTTGTGCGTGTTTCCACTTTCCACTATCAAGTGACGATTTTTTGCTTTAGATTGAAATATCTCGGAAACGGTGCGTCCTAGGCCAAAAATAACAAAAATTTTGACCCCCCCGTAGACCCCCCGGAGTTTTAAAAACCTAGTTGAAAGGAAAAAAAAAAAAAAAAATTTAAATATCGGCCTCTCCTCTTTGAAGTTTCACTTCTATCGTGTGTGAATCGCACACACACCTTTTTTTTATAAAGTCAAAACCTTTTTCTTTAAAATAAAAACTTGTTTTTATTGAAAACAAAAATCAGAGTGTTGCTAGGGATAAATATAAAATTAAATAGTAATGTTAGGATATCGAAACATTTTTGTATAGGCCAGAACGATATAGTGGAAACGCGCTCTAAGATCTGAGTAATATACACACCACTACATATGCAAAAATTTCTCGAGACTAATTTCACTGTAGCTTCATGAGTGTACCGCAATGTATGACTGCGGTAGTGGATTAAATTGATAAAAGAAACAACTTGAGACACTTCTCACACGAACCACGTCTGAACTCAAACTAGGCAGAGCCTATATAATGGTACTCTATATACTATGTTACTAAATTCATGCATATTTTAGATAAATTACACCCAGACACAGAAAAAAAATCATGTTTATTACACAATTATTCTCCTGGGTGAGAATTGAACCCACGATCTCTGAATCAGTAGTCAAAATCACTCACCACTATACCAAGATGCCAGATGAACATTCAGTTTTACATAAGCCCATGGGCCGCTAATTACCTCTCCTACATCGAAATTCACTTAAAAGTTTAGCCATAGAAGAGTAATGCTTTAGCAAACATGGGCTAGCTCGTAGCGTCTGAACAATGCTACTAACAGTAACTTAAATATTTCATTAAAAGAGTTGACCTGTTCTATAGACAAATAAAGTATTCTTTGTTAAAACAAAAACATGAAAAAAAAAACACCAACTTCCCTGGAGCGGAAATCCCCCTCTTTAATCTCCCATCAAACTCAAAGGGCAAGCAATTCTTTATGGAAACAATCTCCTGTCTGATCATCGCACAATAGAAAACACTACAATACCAGGTATGTACGAACATGACGACAAAGGCGCTTATAATCTGTCTTTTTCGTTGAGAGTAAGTCTAAAATGAGTCTTAAATCTTATACGTTACTTTGTGTCAATGATTTAAATTGCCAAAATAATAATGATAATATTTCGGACATCTGACACACAACGCCATCTAGTTTCAAACTAAACAAAGCTTTTACTAAGAAATCTGGATTGACTGATAGAATACTAATATAGTTTTTTTTTGTAAATACATTATAGCCATAAAAAACACCCAAACTTCGAAACAAATTTTGCAGATCTTACAAACATTTGGGTTCGACCCGGGAATCGAACCCGAAACCTCAGCACAGCATACGCTACCACTGCACCACTGAGGCAGTCATATATTAATATCAATCAGTCAATACAATTCATTT